AAAAAAAAAAAAAAAAAGATATATATAGGTTTGGATATTTCGTATAAAATTAATTACAGTTAAATACGAATACAACAAACAGGCTTTGGATTACAAAAGAGACAGAGAAGAGAGAACATGACGCTTACTTTAAAAAAAAGATACTGCAATAACGTCATTATGTCGAAAAAGCCGTACAATTTGACCTGGGTGATACGCGTACATAATATGTAAAAAGCTGGTGTCTCTAGCGGGTTGGGGAGAGACAGCAACCTGCGTGGAAAAGCCAGAAGAATACCCAACCAGCTGTTAACTAGCACGATCAGCAGGCAGACCCTTTCATGGATCCTGAAGAGGAGGGAAGAGAAGCTATGGCATTGTGCCGCCTGCAATGATGCCTATTCTCTAACCAAGTAAGTAAGTAACAATACAATACAATACAACACAATACAATACAGCGCAGTGCAGTGCAGCTGTTTCTCCTTGTTTCCTTTCTTGAATGTTCAATCTGTTCATCAATGTTCAATGCGAAGATTTTCAGACCATTTTGATCTGTAAGTGACTATGCTCCCTAGCTGTTCCTTCTTCTCCTCTTCTCCATTCCATTTCTCCAGTGAAACGAGAAGCTCACAGGGCTGTCTGTGTGTTCGTTGCTCTTATTTCTCACTTCTCTTCCTCCATTCTTTCATCTTTCATTTGCTCTCCATTATCTTTCTTTCTTTCTTACTTTTTTCTCTCTTTCTCTTTTTTTTCTTTCTTTCTTTCTTTCTATCTCCTGTCTGCCTGGACCTCATACCCCTCTCACTTTCATCCTGGGATGGCCTTTGACAGGCAGAGTAAAAGAAGCCCGCCTCCTAAATAATCTAGATTGTGTGTGTGTGTGTGTGTGTGTGTGTGTGTGTGTGTGTGTGTGTGTACGGATAGAGGTCAACATTTTACTTCTACTCGTTCCCACGCAGCGCGCAGTACTTATCCCCTCGGACCAGGATGAGGTATGAGGTGCGGGGTGCATCAGTACTACACCTGTATCTTGGCAAAAATACCCCAACCATTATTAAAATTTCATCGTACTGAGAAAATTGAAAGTAGTGATCGCATATTCACCAATTAAGAAATTAGAATCGGAATTGAAAACCTTAGATCTAGTTCCTTCCTCACCCGAATTTTCATCATGGCGTAAGAGTAAAACAACATTCATGTTAGGTCTACTCGACATTTTTCAAAACAATTTACTCCAATGTTTTTTTTAATAAACTGATTTTGGACCTGAAAGGCCACAAAAACCACCCAGAAAAGAAATTTAAGTTAAATAAGTGCGAATGCCAAGAAAGAGATCATTACTACAGCGCTTTTGTTGCTATTATATCACACCGTCGCCGATCGGCGTCCCGTTGGGAAAGGTACAGATTCTTACCGTCGCCGATTGGCGTTGCGTGGGGGGCACAGTGAGGATACCACACCCTATCCAACGGAGTCAGGAATCGGCCTTCTATTCATTGCAGGGTTAACCTTTGCTGGGACGGATACAGCTCAGGGACAGCATCAGAGCCAGAGATGACACCTCCAATGAGTGTCCAGGTATCTGAACTTTTTCTATCATTGTTAGTGAGTTCATAGTACTGTTGCAGCGTTGTGCGCTGACTTTGGTGTTGTCAATACAAGGTTCATTATGTCCATCTATCTATAATGTGTCCAATATCACCGATGGTATAAGGCACTAAGTTTGGGCAGTCACAAAGTGGGTGGTTGGAAGGAGTTCTGGCGTGAGTTTTCGTCTTTCCTTCTTGTAGGGTTATAATGTTACAAGCGGCAATCCAGAGCTATGATTGATTACCAATGTTGATGACGATATAAGATACAGATACGTATTCGAGAGCCACGATGCTGTAACACGTAACCTTAACAGGCGCACGACAGCCTCACAAAAGGAAATATGTACCCCTTCTTGTCTGATCTCTCTCTTTCTTTCTCTATCTCTTTCTCTCTCCCCCCTCTCTCTCTCCTCTCCCCCCCCTCTCTCTCTCTCTCTCTCTCTCTTTCTCTCCCCCTCTCTCTTTCTGTTCCTGTCTTTCTCGCATTCTGTGTCTCAATCTATCACCTACCCCCTCTCTTTAGCAATGTATCCATCGAGACGAAGATGACCTTCCTGGGGTGCGTAGAAGGCTGATCTGACCAATCTGCGCCCAGAAAGTTTTATCACAGTGTGGACAGGTGATAGGTGGCAGCAAGTTAAGGATATAATATATCAATAGATAGTATTAATTTGTATACCCCAAATTCCCGCTCAACAGCAAGCTCTAGGCCCTTTACCCCAAATCTGATAGCATTCTGAAACAATCTCTACTTCCTGGGAAGCATACAGCACAAGCCTCATGCACCAAAATTGATAGGCGCTAAAACGCTAACATACTGTCAATATCTTTCGCTGTTTATAGCTGGGTATCCATTCCCACCTGAGTAAAGAGAGGAAAAATCGTGTAAAGCACCTTTCACAAAAGGACAAAACGCTGGGCCTGCGGATCGAATCGCCGAACTGGCAACTTCACGATCACGAATCCAGTAGCTTAACCACCAGACTACCGACGTCAAACACTGACACTGGTCTTCGGGAAATCCTGCACTGTACAGCTGTAGCAATTCTGCCTACTTTCACAAATCTCGACTGCCTTGCGGAGAACGGAGAGTCTCCCGACACTCTCCCGAGCAGTCTTTTCTTTTGGTAAGTGTTTTACGGCGTTTGCAAATGCATAAGGTCATAGTGTATGAGCGCGCGGGACACACCTAATATTTTCAGTTGGTAGAAAATTTTGAATTTTCCCTGGGTGGCGACCGAAGCCTACTCTTATCGATTTTAGACCATCAAGGGATCTTGAAGAGGAGACGAAAGCAGACGACAGAACATGGCTAGAGAACAGAAAAGGAGGTGGAAGGAGACAATTTTAGAGAAGAAAATATTTTGGTCGCTAACCGGATTCGAACCCTGGACCTTTGAATGAGAGGCCAACGCCTTAACCTCCAGTCCACGAAAGCCAGTACCCCCCCACCCCCCGAGCAGTGTGCAGTCATGTTGAGGCTGATGTTGAAGGCCTCCAGGGAAGCTTTGAGGGTTTTCTTTGTAATGTTTCTTCATTTTTCTTCTGACACTCATGGGGGTATTTGCCTTGCGGTAGTACGCTAAAGAATAATTTGTTGGGTTTTATTGACAATTGCTAGTCTGGTAGGAGAGCTACATGATTCAGAGTGTTTAATTATATGTATTTATTATGTATATTATCTGTTTGCCATGGTAACCAAACCTTTCCCACAGGAATCAATAAGTGTTATTTGTTAATATAATTGATTTTTACTTATTGATTTTATTTTGTTCCCCCCCCCCCTTTCCTTGCTGTTTTCCATTTTCCTTAGCTTTGTTTGGGGAGCTATTACTATTACCAGCGCACACCGTTAACAAGGTCGAATCGTGTCTCTGCCTTTTAAAAAATATTCTTTTAGAGTTCAGAGTCGCTACACACATGGCGCCAAATACTCTTTAGGGTACTGGAAGTGTTTGGATCTCAATAAAAAGGTGGGTAGTTAGCAAGCGCTCTGTTGTGGTTTGCTTCTTCTTTCTTGTCAAATATCTATCGTCATAATCTCTCCTCCTTTTTTATTGTAAGCTACTCTCTTGTAACACCTCAAATCTTTGGAACTGATATTATGACCTAATTGTGTTGCAAGTGCCTTAAAACTCTTACTAAAACTAAACGAAAGTAGAAAAATCAAAGCCAGCTGCGAGTCCTTCTGCTCTGTGTTTGTAGAGCGAAAGAGACAGAAACACCGACTTCCCGGCTTACCTTTACTCGATGTACTATCACCTGTTACACTCGCCTGTCCGCGCGAGCGCGCATTCAGCGCTCACATCGATTTGTGTCCGCCTTTCCTGCTCCCGCACGCACGCGCACTGGCGACGACGAGAGAGGCTGGATCGTGGTGACACTCTGGCGCACACACACAATATTCGCACACATGCACACACACACACACGCGCGCGTGCGATAACAGCACTCTCATTTAGGAATTTCCTCTGAACAGATAAGACCAGCTCACCGTCGTTCAGAGGTGTGGGTTAGAGCAATTTCCTTATGCCACGTTCAGTTTTATAGCACCACTATCAGATTGCAGGCGTAAGGACTAGGGGTATAAAGATTAAAGAGAGGAGTAAAAAGATATCTCGCTTTACACGTTATCCTGACTCTTAACTGCAAACTAAACCCTTCCGCGAAGTGCTCGCTAAGAGCCAAATTTCTTCTACGTCCTTTATTGAAGTTTTACAAATTAATTGTCCTTATAAATAGAACAAAAATAATTAATTAAACAGAAACGTCATTGAGAGCTGAAAAAAAATAATTCCGATAGCAATCGAGTTGTGCTTCTCAAGGTCAAAGGTTGAAAGATTCCAATTACGAAGATGTTTTAAAACTACAAATCATTCAACATTATAGTATAGCTATGCCGTTGAATCTTCAGGGAAAAACATCGCATCTTGTTGTTTCCAATAAAGTCTAAAGGTCTCTTATCAGTGGTGATATATACATCTTTAACCAAATTTTGAACTAAACAAAGAGCATGGTCTATTTGGTTTGTATAACATTGTTGAATTTTTGTTTCAGTAGAACATGACAATACAAAACGTCTGATTTTTACAATTGTGTGGAAGATCACGACAGCACCTGATGCTCTAGATAACTGGAAGGTATTCCACTGTAAATTAATCCGGTAACTGTTTGCACGCTTTCAACTCTGCTTACAAAAAAACGGAGTAAAGACTAAGAAAATAATGGCAACATCAGCTGAAAAATCTGGAGCGACCTCACAGAATTTCCTTCGCCAATTTCGAGACAAGAAAACGAGGAAATTTCGAGAAATCAGCGCCTCCAGTTTTATGGATGTTTGGAATCATTATGACTCAGACGGTAAGAGCACGTTTTATTTGTTAATTTGTTCCTCAATTAGTCTCAAAAACTCACATACACGCACACACACACACACACACACACACACACACACACACACACACACACACAC